TTGTTTTTTGGTTTTTTTTTTTTTTTTTTACAATTAACCTAAAGCATAGTTGCATTTGGGTTAGTAATAAAGTAAAGGACATCAGAAAAGTTGCACTACCAGTATATTTTCCAATTACATGTTAATAATGTTATGCTTCCTTCCAGTGTTTTAATGTTATAATTTCAATGTTAAAATTTATCATAATTATTTAGTTGTTTGTTGTGCTCCCTGGCATAGACATCTGGGAAAAAGAAACAAGTTAGAAGCATTTATGCCTGCTTTCCTCTGAAGAAAATCTCACTGTGGTGCTCCATCTATCCGCTTCCTGGTGGGTAATAATTTATAATGATCCTACCACAAGCGCCCTCCACTGCACTGGTCACCCTGGAGTCATAACGAAAGGGAACTCATTTCCCATTCTAGTTGTGGTGGGAGAAACAGTCTTGGTTTAGTCCTTTGGCACCTGGATATTTCTGGGCAATTCCCTAAATACAGCTGATCCTCAGTTTCTGCATTGAAAGAAATGGTAATCTTGGTTCATTTTGTTCCACTAGATGATAGTAAATAAAATAATGTAAGTCTATGGGCGTGTTTTATAGTCACAAATGCACTATAAGTTCCTTTGAAACAAAAAAACAAGTTAATATTTATACATACACTAATCACGTGTGTGGGAGCATATGGCCTGAGAGAGAGAAAGACAGAGAGAGATAACAGATTTCAAAGAGAGCCCGAGCTTTGATTGGTTTTTAAAAATGAGTGTTGCATAGGGGAAGAAGGGCTTAGGACAGAGTTGAGAGGAATGGAATCATTAGAGCCAAAAGACTGGAATGAAAATGCATTGAATAATCAATGACAAAAGCTCAACTCAAACCCCTACACTTAGGAATTAGCAAACAACTGCAGAGCTTGGAATTTTTATAACACCATTGAATTTGAATGTATTCAATGTTTTTTTTTTTAACTCTAATACAAGTATTATACTTAAAAGTGTAAGAATTTTTCTGTCAAAAATTCTATGATGTTATCATTGTTAAATCCATGTAAAAATGAGAAAACGGGTCTTAGAAATGTTAAATCCTCTTCTACACTGTTGGTGGGAATGTAAACTGGTTCAGCCACTGTTGAGAACAATATGGAGGTTTCCCAAAGATCTACAAATAGAGCGACCATTTGATCTAGCAATCCCACTTCTGGGTATCTACACAAAGGACAGGCGAAAAGTCAGTTGGAAAGGCTCTTGCACATCAATGTTTATTGAAGCATTATTCACAATTGCCAAGACATGGAACCAATCTAAAAGTCCACAAACAGATGAATGGATTCAATCCACTTAATTATACCAACTATCCGCACTCTATGGTAGAGATCGAAATATGGGAAGGCATAAAAGCAGTGAAGATAGTTAACGATAAGACAGTGTGGAATGGGGCAGGAGAAGAGAAGCGTATAGAGAAGGATAGCAAGAGAACAAATAGAGAGGCATGACATTAGTGGGATGCAGAAATGGTTTATTACCTGTTGATGACGTGCATAGTTTTCTCAATTGGATTGATCTGAGAAGTATTTCATGTTGGGTAAAGTCCTTTTTTTTGGAGAGGTTTTTGCTGTAGGGTACGTGTGCTCACCAGACAGACAGAGAGAGACAGAGAGATAGAAAGCGAGAAATCACCCCCCCCAGGGGGGATGGTCACACCGCAACCCCTTCTCTTCCATTCTCCTCTCAGGATCTTGGGCATGTACGCATATGCGCCCGGAGTGAGTTTTAAGCCACCAGGTCCAGGATGTGAACCGTGGTTGACTACATGGGAGTCCAGCGACATAGCCATTATGCTAACTGCTGGTCCCAGAGATCGACACACTGCCTTGACCGGGAATCAAACCCGGGTCAACTGCTTGGAAGGCAGCTATGCTCACCACTATACCACCAATGCACAAGGTTGTTGGGTAAAGTCTTTTTACAAGCAAAATGATAAATAGTGATTGACTGTTTAAAAAAATAATTGGAATAATAATAATCAGGAAAAAAATGTAATACTATTGGATGACAAAGATGGGGATTTTAATGTCTGTATTGACTGATATGCATGGTATTCTTTCTGGAAAAAGAAATGTAATACACTGTAAGGTTATATGTGATTTAATGTAATATAAACAAGATTATGATATTAATTAATTAATTAATTATTTTAAAAAAAGAAATGTTAAATCCTTGGCCAAGATAAGTTAACACATGATAGAAGTAGGAAATGAGTTTACATTTGACTCTGAAAGCCAAGTACTTTATTCTTACTAAGAAAATATTTCTTCACTCTCTTTCAAAAGAAATAAGTATGAATCTGAATATAAATGAGCAAAGATCTGATGTAGATTAATCACAAGAATTTGCCCTGCCTTCTATTTAACAGAACTCATCCATTTGGTGCCTTGTATAATTTTTTTCTTTCTTAGATATCATGTACAATTTAATGAAGAAAGAGAACCACACTTCAGTGAGTGAGTTTATGTTCCAAGGTTTCTCCAGCTTCCATGAGCACCAGCTCACCCTATTTGTTGTGTTCCTTCCACTATATATCTTAACCCTGGCAGGCAATGTCACCATTGTGACCATCATTAGCCTCGATCGCCACCTCCACACCCCAATGTACTTTTTCCTCAGCATGCTGTCAGCTTCAGAGACAGTGTACACACTTGTCATTATACCAAAGATGCTCCTTAATCTCATAGGCCTGAGTCAGCTCATCTCCTTGGTGGGTTGTGCTACTCAAATGTTCTTCTTCATCACTTTGGCCATCAACAACTGCTTCCTGCTCACAGCTATGGGGTATGATCGTTATATGGCTATTTGCAACCCCTTGAGGTACTCGGTCATCATGAATAAGAGGGTGTGCATCCAGTTGGTGTGTGGGGCCTGTAGCATTGGCCTGATTGTGGCAATGACACAAGTGTCAGCTGTATTCAGCCTGCCCTTCTGTGCCCTAAGAGTGCCCCACTTCTTCTGTGACATCTCAGCTGTATTCAGCCTGCCCTTCTGTGCCCTGAGAGTGGCCCACTTCTTCTGCGACATTCGACCCATGATGAAGCTCTCCTGCATTGATACCACTGCTAATGAGATCCTGACTCTGATCATCAGTGTCTTAGTGATCTTGGTTCCCATGAGCTTGGTTTTCATTTCCTATATTCTCATCATCTCCACCATCCTCAAGATTGCTTCTGCTGAGGGAAGGAAGAAGGCCTTCGCCACCTGTGCCTCTCATATCACAGTGGTTATTGTCCACTACGGCTGCGCCTCCATTGCTTACTTCAAGCCCAAGTCAGAAAACACCAGGGATGAGGATCAGCTGATCTCAGTGACCTACACTATCATCACCCCCCTACTGAACCCTGTGGTGTACACCCTGAGGAACAAAGAGGTCAAAGAAGCTCTGTACAGGGTTATTGGCCGAAAACTCTCCTGACAAGTTGGGTCCATTTCAAATAAAGTATTAGGAGAATCTCTAGACAGGAGAAAGTGGAACAATGACCATAGTTGCAAGAATTAAAATTCTAGACCCCACGGGCCAGCAAGTGGTGTGGGGGTTAAGGCACTGGATCCCATATGTCCACCAGCATGGTTTGAGTCCCAGACCTGGCAACTTGAGAAACACACCAGGCACATGTGCATGTGTGCCCAAAATCCCAAAAAGAGAATGGAAAAGGAATTGTGGCATGGTCATCCACCCCAGGGGAAAATTTCTCACTTTTCCTCTCTGTCTTTCTTTCTCTCCAGCAAGCACATGTGCCCTATGGCAGAAATCTAAAAAACTTAAAAAAATAAAAACTGGACCCTATTGGGCAATGGTTGGATGAAAGGAAGAGAGAACAAAAGAACTACAAATCTAGTTGCTTAAGAAAGGCAGAAGGTTCCTCAGCACAAGCAAGCCATAGAACAAGATAATATGGGATTCAAACATAAACAAAGAGTTCAGTGGTGTTGGGAAGTAGTTGAGATCTCTGTTACAGATGAGATCAGGATAACAGAAGCACAGAATGAAAGAAGGCTGCTCTAAGGCAGAGCCAAAGTTTTAAATCCGTTCTATGACACTATCTTTCGGACATCCGGTCTCCCTTGACTCTTTAGAACTACATAGGTTTAATACCTAACTGAAGTCATTCCTTTAAGGGCAATTCAAGTTCTATTGCAACTTAGACACCATACATAAAATGGATACCAGCGTTATTAAGCATTTATTAGATCCAGTATTCCTTCAAGTCAGGACTTATTTCACATAAGTTCCAGGTTGACCACATGAGAAAGTGAATATCAACATTTTCAGGGTCTCAAAAGAGAGATATTTTTGGAAATTGATTAAAACCCCTTGGTTATTTAATTACAAAAAGAGGCAGTGCCAAATTGTATCAGTATTTACATCATGAGAAAATACAAAGATTATTGGTGATGCTGTATATGTGTGTCTGAACCCAGGAAAAAGAAATTGGGATTAGCTTTGGAGATGCTTGCAGAATGAAGAGAAATAACTAGTTAATGAGAGTTTTAGCCTGTTGTGTTACCAAACAGAAATGCCTGAGACTGGGCAATTGATAAAAAATAGATGTCTATTTGGCTCACAATTCTGGTTTCTGGATAGTCCAAGAGCATGGGGCCAGCATTTGGCTGGCCTCTTGCCCTGCATCACAACATGGTTTACAGAAGCAGGGAAAAAAAAAAAAAAAAAAAAGAAGGCACTTCAAAAAGAAGATGGAAAACTGGAAGTATGAGTTTATTTTGGCCCCTACAACAGTGTTTGTAAGAAACGAAAAAAAAAAAAAAAAAAAAAAAAAAAGCAGGCACTTCCAAAGAGAGAGAGACAATCCTGTGAGTAGTCATCATCTATAACCTACTCTCGTGAGAATTAATCCATTCCCATTCCCACAGAGCAAGGATTCACTCCCTCCTAAGGGACCAGCATTACATATTCACAGACACCACCTACTAAGTCCCACCTCCTAAAGATCTCACCACCCATCACCGTAGGGATCAAGCTCCAAGTGCGTGAACCTTGAAAGGATAAACCATCATCCAAACCATAGCAGTGACGAAGAGGGAATCCAAGGCAGGGATTAATGAACTGAGAGGATTAGGAGGATTCAAATGGGTAAGAATGTAGACATTTGGTAACTCAATAACTCAAAAAAGAAAAAGACTCATCATACCGTCAATCCTGTCATTTAGGGCCTCTAGGATCTGAATTAATATGTCAGCGTTCAATAGTCATTTCTACTTCCAGCAACCCCTTCCCTAAGTCTGCACGCACCTCCGCACAACAAACAATCCAACAATACCTTGTGACCCCCCAGGTATCTCCACAGCACACGTCATATTCTCATACCTTTCTATAGCTTGTGGTCATCAATGGAAATTCAGAACTGCTCCCCTCACTGCCTAACTCAGCCAGGGAATCCTACAGGTTTTGAAACAAAACCTGAAGCATTTCTCCCTGTACAAACTCTACTGTGAGAGACCCTTAGACAAGAAATTGCTCCATCTACTCTCTCACATGACCTCCTAACTCACGTATTCTCACATGACTATAGTGAACATTTTCCGTGAGGTCCTTATGGTTCAAAGCATGAAGCAGGCAGTGTGTCATGCTGTAGCTAGGTGGAGTTTAGCCTGGTAGACAGGTCCACACACTGTTCAATGGCCCACTTGTGCAAGCGATGTGTTTTTCAGGACATGTTACTTTTCCATTTTATAAGTACGGACTCTGTCCAAATACCAAATATTTCTAAAATAGCCCATTATGGTTCAGTCTTACATTGAATCAGTGACGGGGACCAGCCGATGGTATAGTGATTATGTTGCTGGATTTCCACATGACTGCCCATGGTTTGAGTCATGGACCCAGTGGCTTAAAAGTCACACTGTGCATGTGTGCATGCATGCCTGAGATCCCAGAAGCAGAATGGAGAAGAAGGGATTGCAGCATGGCCATCTCCCTGGGCATATGATTTCGCACTTTCCCTCTCACTGTCTCTGCGTGCCTCTCTCTGTTTTCAGGGAGCATATACATCCTCTGATTGAAAACCTCTTAAAAATTAAAAAAGAATCAATGACTTTTTTTTATATTTATGATGAAATGCAGGAGAACCCAAAATGAACCTGTATTTGCTAACAGTAACTTTAAGTTTTACTCAGTAAATAAAATATTTTATCGTTATTTTAAATGACAGCGTCAAAAATGTTGACCCGTCCCTTCAACTTCTCAATAACAGAATCTGTATCTGCAAGCTTAGTTACTTAGTATGTGAGGTAGCCTGTTAAAGACCTGCAAGATTAAGGGGAAAGATATTAGACATTGAAAGTAAAAAGATTTTATTTGGATCCCTGGCTCTACTTACTCACCACATAAATTGGAAGTAATTATTTAATCTCTGAGCCTCAGTTTACTAATATGTAAAACTTACAGCCAAAGGTTCTTGTCAAGCACATGTGACAGTAAATACAACTATCCTATGTAAATAACAAAACTGAGACAAATATTCTTTTTTTCTTATGTGTGTAAGAAAACTGCGACATCCCATGTAAACTGAAACTTTCCTTACTGCAAAATAGGATTACCCATCCCTGCTGTTTTTCCTATTGGATTGTTGCAAGAACCAACTACATTAGAAAAAAACAATAGGGACCAGCAGTTAGCGTAATGGCTATGTCACTGGACTCCCATGTAGTCAACTGCGGTTTGCGTCCTGGACCCGGTGGCTTAAAAATTCATGCCAGGCACGTGTGCGTGCGTGCCCAAGATCCCGAGAAGAAAATGGAGGAGAAGGGATTGCGGCGTGACCATCCCCCGTGGGGGGGTGATTTCTCGCTTTCTGTCTCTATGTCTCTCTCTGTCTGTCTGGCGAGCGCACAAGCCCTATAGTGAAAACCTCTCCAAAAAAAAAAAAAAACAATAGAAATTGCTATGATAGCTGCAGAAAGTATTAAGAAATATGATGCATTACCACTATTATTTTATTATTGGCTAGCATAAATCCTATGTTCCTTATTTTCTAATATTTCCAGACTATTTTATATTATTCAAACTAATTAATCTTGAATCTTATCTGCCTCCCACATACTCTTAATTGTTATGTGATCTTCATTAAATCTGCAGATCATATATTCTTGGTTCCTTATAAAAAGAACATTTCAAAAATTTTGCATGACTATCTTCTGTTAGTAATTCCACCATCAAATGCCTATGCTCCTAACCCACATTGAGAATCTCCCATCCTTCTGGTTCAGTGAATGTCAAACTCTTTACCATAACCTACAGCCCCCTATATAAAATGCATGTTATAACATAACCCAGACTGTATGTATACGTGTGTATATACACACACACATACAAACTGAAACACAACATTCCCCAAATAGCACTTAGCCTTTCGACCATACGTGCAGTCCATTCTGAGTTTTTCATTCTCGCCTCTTCTACACTATTCTATTTTATCATATTTAAATTATATTTAGTGAGTAGAGGTGGATCTATGATACATTCTGACCGAATGCTCAGTGATTGACTCTATGTCTGACTGAAGCCGACATCAGTAGATTGTACCCCTAAAACATTGAAATCAAATTAAAATCTTATTTAAAATACACTGGAATTTAATTATTTAAGATTTATTAAACACATTTAAACATTTGAAATTTTAGAGGAGGAATATTTAGTCTTCATTGTCAGTTTCTAGCTTGTTCTAGTACTCACTACAATACATCTCTATGACAGTAGCGCCTCTATGTCTGACTAAAGCCAGTGCACAAGCCGACATCAGTAGATTGTACTTCTAAAACATTGAAATGAAATTAAAATCTTATTTAAAATACACTGGAATTTAATTATTTAAGATTTATTAAACACATTTAAACATTTGAAATTTTAGAGGAGGAATATTTAGTCTTCATTGTCAGTTTCTAGCTTGTTCTAGTACTCACTACAATACATCTCTATGACAGTAGCCAGATGCTCAGATTCCAGAGAAACTGAGACTGATGAAGCAAAATATCTTGGGAGAAATATTTTATTTTTCTAGTGATGTCTTCTTTTCTTCATGTTCATTTTAGATATGGGTTAAAAATAATTTATCCTGGATATTGTCCTGTGCTTTTGGTGGCAAAATTAAAATCCTACTGTTGGGGCTGGCAGGTGGTGTAGTGGTTAAAGCTGCTGAATTCCCACGTGATCGACCATGGTTTGAGTCCTGGATCTGGCAGCTTGCTTTCTAATGTTCCCTTTCTCTCTCTCTCTCTTTCTGGTCAAATTAATAGTAATAATAACAAATGGAAATAAATAAATAATTTTTTAAAAAAAAACTAAAATCCTATTGGCAATTAATCTCTAAAAGTTGTGAAAGGCCAGTCAGAGGCATGGTGGTTATGGCAGCAGGATCCCACATGTTCAATCGTGCAGTTCACTGCTCTACCAGACAG